TCTTCCTGTTCACCTGCTCAGACTGCCCAACTCCCTCCTCACCTCTCCCTGGACTACACTCCCTGCCCCTTTCCATGATGGAGCAGGTGGCCCTCCTACTCTGATGCCTTCTCTTCACATCCCCTACCCCCATCTCAGTAGTGGATCAGACATCACTGGTGCGGGAAGCAGTGTGTGAGAGGCAGATCCGGCCCCCACTGACTGAGCTGCCCCAGTCCAGCCCTGAGACTCCTGGCTTGGAAGGACTGAAGGATTTAATGCAGCACTGCTGGAGCCATACGCCCAGGAACAGGCCCTCCTTCCAAGGTGCTCTGGCCACTTAGCTGGCAGCTGGGGTAGGCTTGGATCTGTGGGCAGGGACTTTTCCCTGGAAAAGAGCTTTTGCTCACCTGCCACCCACTCTACCTTCTCTCCAGAATGCAGACAGAACACCCAGAAAGCCCTCGACCTGGTAAAGAAAGGAGATGTATCTGGTACAAAGATGATTGCCGCAGTCTCCACGGTGAGCGCCCAACACCCCTTCCCCAACCCAGGACCTGGGCAGGGGTGGCACAACATGGCTCCCTTGACCACCCAGTGACTCCCCACTGTTCTCTGAGCCTTGACCCTCATCCTCACTCTCCCCACCCCAACCTTTCATTCCTAGGCAATGGGCCAAGAGACTCCTCCCTCAGGTTTACTCTAACTCTCCCACCTCCATGGCCAGCCAGCTCCCTGTCTTTGCAGGTGAAGAAGTTCCTGTCTGAGCACAGGGGCAGCAACAAGTTGTCTGCCGGCGAACCAGGCCTGGAAAGTACAGAAATGGATGGCCCTGGGGGAACCACAGGAAGCCATGATTCCCTGGTCTCTGAAATGATGAACAGCCTGAATCTGGAGGGTCACCCCAGCTCTGTTCCTGAAAAATATACAAACCTTCCTGAGAGAAGCAGTACCCAGAGAAAGCCAGTTCAGCATACCTGGACTGCAGATATGTCTTCAGATTCAACAGCCCGAACTCCTCAAACTCCAGAGACCTCATCTTTCAGAAACCAGAAGCCCAGCCCCAGTTCAGGTTGGACCCCAGGTCCTGGACCCCAAGGGAATCAGGTGAGACATGGGCAGGACTGGGGGATGCGCTAGGGCTCCTGTGAATTCTGTCCCCTTGCCAGGGAAAACTGGGGGCTAAGGGGGTCTGCAGTAGGGAAACAGGCCCCAGGACAGGAAGCCTGAGAGCAGTGTGTTGTTTGTAGGGGGCTGATAGTCCTGGCACCAACTGGCTACCCAGAGCTCCAGGGCCAGATCTGATACCAGGTACCCACTCTCTACTCCTTCTTTTCTCCTGCTCAATTCTACCAGCTTCTTCCTCAAGACCGCATATCCAGGGTACTTGGGGAGGGGGGATGAGAAACGGCTAGAGGCCATCTACCTCAATCTTCTTATTTTATAAATGAAGAAATGGACATCCACTAGGATTGGGTCCCCCTGAGGTCACACAGCAAAGCCTAGATTTGCCCCTGAGCCTTCTGACTTTCCCCAACACCACCTCTGTGAACCCCTAAATTCCATAGTTGCTATGTCGGTCCAGAGGGCCTCCACATAGAAAAGACCCAAATATCAGAGTCTCAGATATTGGTTGCCACTCCTCTTGAACTTCTGCAACTCAATTCTGAAGGTGGAACCTGGAGGGGAAGGCCAGAGGCACACCTTGATGCAGTCACTGGCAGGCCGAGACCCCATACTTGCATTTCCCCCAGGTGAACACGAGGTGCCGCTGCCCCTCCATGCTACTGCTCTTCCTTACATTGCATCTGTCTCCGACCACTTAACCCTCCCACCACCATCACTATTTCTCTTAAAGGGCCATGGTCTTTTACCATACTTGACAGCCAAGGAGTACAGATCGGATACAACAACTACATGACTATACAAGGAAGACCTACCTCGTTCATGCAGGGCCTGGCACCTCGGGGCACAGATAGGGGCCCCCAGCATGGCCCCCAAACAGCAGGTTCAAAAGAAGGGCCACAAGAACCTGAAGCCTGGAGTTAGCCACAGAGCTGGAATCATAACAGCGGGAATTGAAGCAGCTTCTAAACTGCCTCCTGGACTTGAGGCAGCTAGCCGAGACTTTCTCTGAGGGCCATCAGGCCTGTACCTGAACTGTCTTTGTGTCCCTAAAGGTCAATAAAGATCGTGGAATTTTAACCAAAGCACCGTGCAAGAGGCTAAGGCTTCAGCAGGGGTGGGAAGGGACATGGATGAGAGACCAGGGAGCTGACAGGGGAATGGGAGGCCAGAAGTGAGATGCTGAGGCCTGGGGGTGGGCAATGTGGCACACGAGGTCAGGTTCCAGCTGGCGGCAGGAAGGAATCCTGAGGGCTTGGCTCCTGGGGCCCGCTCTAATCTCTAGGCAGAGTATTTCCTGCAGGCAGGCTGAGACCCCACCATAAACCAAACCCTGGGGATTGAGGTTGTGGTCCCACCCCCCACTTTTCTACTGGGCTGTGGAGACTTGGCAGTGGGGTCCTGATGAGGAGGCTCTCCATGGGAATTCACAGACCCCAGTACATCTTTGTCCTGCATGACGCACCTAGTCTCTCATAAGTCATTCTCATACCACCTCCCTCTGCCACATACACCCATGCACACGTTGCTTTCGTTGCTTCCGTGTAGGCATCAGAACCCTTTGATTCTCAGCTGATGTCTGGGAGTGGAAAGTGATGGCTCCACAAAGCTACACACAGATGTGCCCCTCCCACAGAGCTGGACACCACTGGAGCTTGGACAATTCAGATGTGGCCATAGAGCTGCCATCCAAGTTGGAGGGGCAGGGAATGAGCATCCCTCTTTTGCTGACCTAACCCCCATACTGCACCATGTTCTTCCCTACATCCTTGCCAGCCTTCGCCCCAGCCCTCCCTCAGTCTCCCTACATCCAAGGTTCCACACTCATCTTGAAGCTTGTCACTTGGCCTGGCCCACCTCACCGCTTGCATCTCTCCTGTGATCCACATTCCCTTTCCTTGAAGGGGCTGAAGTGAGGAGGCTGTGGTGTTAGAAGAGACAATCAGAGTGGGGGAGGAGGCCTGCTGAGTCTGGCTAGGGCACAGGAAGGGCTGGGCTGTCCCATCGGGGAAGTGGGAGGGGGCTGCGGCGCCAGGAGGGAAGCGCCTGTTGCCCAGGGCTCAGAACAACTAGCCTAGCAGCCAGCGTGACTCGGAAACCTGCCCCAGGGCTTAGCCTGTTCGGCTGTAGCAGCATCGCAGGCAGTGAGTTGTGGAAGAGGGGGAACCAGGGGCTCCTTTGCTTCAGCCCCAAATCCTGTGCTCCTGGCACTGAGGCTTTTGCTAGGACACTTCTGCAGTGTGGTTTGGGGGGATGGAGTTGGGGAGGAGCAAAGGACTGGACAGTCCACTCATTGCGGACTGGGGAAAAACAGGGAGTGGAAGGAGACGGCATTGCCGTGAGGTTGGGAGATCCAGATGGAAGTGGCGTGGACCAAGTGAGAGGGGCACAGTTGGCGCTGGCTGGGGCCTCAGACAGTGACCCACACTGGCCCTCTTCAACCCGGGGGCCCACCCCCAGGCAGTGCAGCACGGGGCAGGGGAGACGATGGCCCGCCTCTTCAGTCCCCGGCCACCCCCCAGCGAAGACCTCTTCTTCGCTGAGACCTACTACATCCTGAGCCAGCAGTACCCACTGCTGCTACTGCTGCTGGTGATCGTGATCTGCGGGCTCCTGGCTCTACTGGCTGTCGCCGGTGCCAGCGGCAGGGTGAGCAGGGGAGGAGGGGAGGAGGGGGGCCTCTGGTGCAGGGTGCCTCCTTGAAGGTCAGCAGGGTCACTGCCTAGGGGGCATTTTCGGGGTTGGGACTTGTGGGGATCTTCTTTTCAATGTGCTTTCTTTGCTGGGACCCGGGAAAGAAGCTCTGGACCTTGCTGGGAACTGCAGTGACCCCACATAAATCACTCTGCCTTTCTGGGCCACAGTCTCTGGGTCCACACAAGGAGGTAGCTGAGCCCTGGATGCTTCTCATTTCTCTCTGGGTCCTGATAGACCTTAAGGAGCTTCTGTGAGCTAATGATTCTAGAAAAATTCCAACACCGGATTTTCTGATTTTCCAGGGGGAAATTACCCTGGGCCCTGTGGGAATCTGCTTCCTGGTTTTCTTTCTCTCTTAGCAGCTATGGGGTAGTTGTACTGACAGATTCCCAGAAGGCACCCACCATTCTGCTCTCATTTTAGTCCTTAATTAAGCCCATTTCCAGGTTTTGGGGAGGGAAGAAAGAGAATCTTCAATTCCACTTCTGGAAATATCCTGCCCCAAGTTTTCTTTTCACTCTTTGGAGGCAAGTTGGGAAAACAATTGGATGTGAACAATCCTTGCCCGTCCTCCTGGAAGAAGTCCAGGAAGAGGTGGAGACAGGGGAGTAGGGGGAAATCCTCCGTGCTGAGGCAGTAGGGAGATCTCAGCTCCTGGCAAGAGAGATTCTGGGCGCCCCCTGCTGCCCAAGCACCAATGCTTGGTGGGGAGTGGGGCTTAAAACACCGGGTCTTGTGCCTCAAGCAGGGAATCTACCAAGCAAATTACCTAGATTTGGATACACTCATTCCTAAGTGCCATCTGTGAGCTAGGATTTTTTCACTCGCTTTAGGATCCTAGGTGCAGAGTAGGGTGGGGTTGGGTGGTGCTATTATTTCTATTTGACAAGTGAGAAAACTTAGGCTCAGAAAGGTCATGGATTCATAAATGGCCAGAATGAGGCTGGAGCCAGGTCTTCTGTGTAGGTGGCCCAAGGCCCTGCAGCATGCAAGTGAGATGTTAAGTTGAATCCTATGAGACTGTTAGCTCTGAAGATTAAAAACAGATTATCAGCATTTCATGTGGTTCAACCTCATATGAATGGCAAGTGGTGGTGGCCTGCCTGATTTTCTTACTTGGGTTTGAGACTCTTGTCAGATTTGGTCTGAGGGACTGCCTGTTCCTCCTCTTCTTGGACAAGCTCCCCAAACTCCAAACCCCAGGCTTGCTTCACCTGCCCCCTCCCCTCCAGGAGCTGGCCTCCGACCCGGGCTTCCTGACCACTGTGCTGTGCGCCCTGGGTGGCTTCTCGCTGCTGCTGGGCCTGGCTTCCCGCGAGCAGCGACTGCAGCGCTGGACGCGTCCCCTGTCCGCCCTTGTGTGGGCAGCGCTGCTCGCGCTAGGTCACGGCCTCCTGTTCACCGGGGGCGTGGTGAGCGCCTGGGACCAGGTGAGGCAAGAGAAGCAGTGGGGAGGGGACTCCCAGGCCTCGAACTCAGCCCCCAGGCCAAGAGCAGCGCAGCAGCGTAAGCTCTCAGCTTCCGGCGCCCCTCTCCCCTAGGTGTCCTTTTTCCTCTTTGTCATCTTCACCGTGTATGCCATGTTGCCCTTGGACATGCGGGAAGCCGCCGCCGCGGGCCTCGCCTCCTCACTCTCACATCTGCTGGCCCTCGGGCTGTATCTTGGGCCTCAGCCGGACTCACGGCCCGCGCTGCTGCCGCAGGTGAGCACGCATGGAGCTGAGGCTGCGTCCAGGGCCGGCTCCTCTGGGCGCTACTTGCTCCTCTGGACATTCATCAACCGTTTGCTGAGCTATGACTCCGAGGCAGGGCGCAACGCTGGGTGTAGGTTACAAACACGGACCTCGACTGTACGTGCGCTCGTGCAGCTGGTACATAGTGCAGCGCGATGCCTGCAGATGCCAGAAGTGGGCTCTTGGGCTCAGGGGAAGGGAGTTCGCCTGGGGACCAGGGTGGTGGGGACAAATGTGGAAGACGGAACCTTCAGAGAGAATGTAAAAATTGGAGCTTGAGTAGATTTGTGCTGTCGCGGGGGGTGGGGGTGGGGTGGGGATGGTGGAGTGCATTCCAGGCAGAGGAAACGTACGTACAAACGTTTTCTAGACCTAAGACGCCGTGTTGGTGCGGCACCCAAGAGTCTAGAGTAGGGGGATGGGGGAGGAGAAGCGCCCCCTACGGATTCCACACTGTGGAACCAATTGCCTCGAAATACTTCGGTCTCTTAACCGTAGAATCCTCCCCAGCCCTCTTGGAAACCAATCCAGCTGCACACAATAGCCACCCCTACCCCGACCCGGGTCCAGCGCCCTCTGAGGCTGACCCTCCCCCACAGCTGGCAGCAAACGCGGTGCTGTTCCTGTGCGGGAACGTGGCGGGAGCGTACCACAAGGCGCTGATGGAGCGCGCACTGCGCGCCACGTTCCGGGAGGCGCTTAGTTCTCTGCACTCACGTTGGCGGCTGGACACCGAGAAGAAGCACCAGGTCCGCCGGGCCCGGGAGGCCGAGAGGGGCCGGGGCTCGGAGAGAGGAGTTGTTTAGGTCACACAACCGGGCTCTGGAAGCTGAATGACTTTGGGCGGGTCGCTTGAACTTCTGTTCCCTCCTTTGTAAAATATGGCTATTGCCCACCTTGGAAGGTGCAAACTAACTGAAGCTTGTGAAACGTGACTTTAGAACGTCACTATCCTAAACGAAGGGTTCTAATTCCCATATTGCTGCTTGGCAGTTCAGTCCCTAAATGTGATCAGTGCAGGATAGGGCTGGAGCCCTGCTGTATGTGGTGGGGAGGACCTGGGCTAGTGCCCTGGGGAACATTTCGTGGGGCTGAGAAGTCTGTAGGCTTTTATGGGTTTGGGGGATGGGAACTCCTGACTTTAGAGGGCAAGGATATTGGTGCTCATAGTGTCCTCCCCCAGGAACACCTTCTCTTGTCCATCCTTCCTGCCTACCTGGCCCGAGAGATGAAGGCAGAGATCATGGCACGGCTGCAGGCTGGACAGGGGTCACGGCCAGAGAGCACCAACAACTTCCACAGCCTCTATGTCAAGAGGCACCAGGGAGTCAGGTATGAGGAAGGATGGCTGGAGGGAAGGGGCATGGGCTGAGATGCTGGCCCCACTGATGCGGTCTGCCCTGCCCAGTGTGCTGTATGCTGACATCGTGGGCTTCACACGGCTGGCCAGTGAGTGCTCCCCTAAGGAATTGGTGCTCATGCTCAACGAGCTCTTTGGCAAGTTCGACCAGATCGCCAAGGTCAGAGGGGGCTTCATCTCCCACCTTCCAACTCCCTACCCTGGAGAGCCTCTTGTGAGGGAAATTCCTGCCATATAAGATCCCAGTCCCAGTGCCAAGCCCACGTGGGCTCCCAGACCCTTCACTGGAGGTAGGAATCTCTCTCAAGTATCCCCACTTTTGGAGCTGCTCATTGTACACCTCAAACCTGGAGGGACTTCTCAACATCCTCACAGATGTCCCAACCAAAACATCCCCAAATATGCTCTGAGCTCCAACATAGGTGTCTCTGGACACTATGGACCCTACAACCAAATCTAGGTAGATTTCCCAATGCTCTAACCTTGGAAGGCCCTTCCAAGGGAAATCTCTGCCCTCGGCATTCTCAGCCCAGCTACCTGCTCAGACCCCAGGGATGCCCCCGAGCAACCAAATCTTGGGTCTTCCCCAGAAGCTTCAATCCTGAAGCGGCTTTCATATGCTCAGATTTGGATACACCCTACACATGCCAAATCTGGAGAGAGCTGCAGACATCCCAACACTAGGGAAACCCTTCTGAGAAAGGCACTGGCATGGGAGACCTCAGCCAGTCCTGTATCAGGCTAAGGGAGTCCCTAGATCTGACCTAGACATTCCCAATCTCAGAAGCTCTTCACAAATAACACACTTGCTCCCACTTTCCCCAACTCCCTCCTGTTCCCTCTGGCCTCTAACCAGGTTCCCCTCTTCCCACTGCGTACCCTCCCTCCAGGACCATGAATGCATGAGGATCAAGATCCTGGGAGACTGTTACTACTGTGTCTCAGGGCTGCCGCTCTCCCTGCCAGACCACGCAATCAATTGTGTGCGCATGGGGCTGGACATGTGCCGGGCCATCAGGTCAGCTGAGATGGACAAGGACGAGTGGGAGTAGCGATGGATGGATGTGGGAGAGGAGCTAACAGGGTAGTGGAAATCCTCCTGGAGAGAGGGAGGGGTGTGGCATGGGTAGGGCTGAAGGCAGAACCCAGATTGTTCCCCACACACCCTGTTCAGGAAACTTCGGGCAGCCACCGGCGTGGATATCAACATGCGTGTGGGTGTACACTCAGGCAGCGTGCTCTGCGGTGTCATCGGACTGCAGAAATGGCAATATGATGTCTGGTCCCATGATGTTACACTGGCCAACCACATGGAGGCGAGTGGAGTGCCAGGGTGAGAGCTGGGGCTCCAGGGGGCTATGGCAAGAGGCCAGTCGGGCCTTCACATGCCTGGTATTCATCGTTCTTTAAAATGAGCACATTCTCACATGGCACTCAGGGAGATCCTGGGATGCAGGGAGGGGAGCTGGGAGACACCTCCTGTAGCACTGGGCCTTGCTTGAAGTCAGACCTCCACGAATGATCCTTGAAAGAAATGAGAGATTTGAAGTTCTTCTCACCTGACTCCTGCTGCCCTCTCCTTCCAGACGAGTACATATCACAGGGGCTACCCTGGCCCTGCTGGCAGGGGCTTATGCTGTGGAGGATGCAGCCATGGAACACCGGGACCCATACCTTCGGGAGCTAGGGGAGCCTACCTACCTGGTCATTGATCCCCGGGTAAGAGCCCAGCCTAGACCCCATGGGCTGGCCCACCCTAACCACCCACAGCTAATGGGCCTGGTCTCTTCTATGCCAGAGACTCAGTTCCTGGGTCCTAGTGTGTACCGTGGGGGAGGGACACCAGCCTTTAAGGGGCTGTGGGAGAATGGGGAAGGGTCTGTGATCTTGACTCTCAGCTTTCATTTGCCCCAGGCCGAGGAGGAGGATGAGAAGGGCACTGCTGGAGGGTTGCTGTCCTCTCTCGAGGGCCCCAAGATGCGTCCATCGCTGCTGATGACCCGCTACCTGGAGTCCTGGGGTGCAGCCAAGCCATTTGCCCATCTGAGCCACGTAGAGAGCCCTGTGTCTACCTCCACCCCTCTCCCGGTATGTGCACTCCATCATGAGTCCAGCACTTACATAAACGCACCCCCATTGCCCACTCCTAGCCCCTCCCATCTCCACCACCTGTGAGTCACTTGATGACATCCCAAGGTCCTGAACTTTCTGGTCAGGACCTTTCCTGCCCTTGTTTCCAGAGAAAGAACAAAGATAACTGCCCTCTGAGCTCAACTCAGAGAAGATTCAAGACCTCAAAGATACCATGTCCTTTGCTCCCCAGCCCACTCAGGAAGCCCCTTCCCCTGGTGCCATACTGCCTCCTGCCTCAGAAGCCAGTACTGCACATCCATTCCCACCAGGAAATGTCTCTGTTTAGCTCAGTCTTGTGACTGCATGCTCTCTTCTTCAGTCCCCACTAAGACGGGAAATGTGGGGCAGATCACTCATTGCCCCTCCTCTCCAGGACTTGTATACAGATAAAAAAAGGTGACAGTGAAAATCTCCCAGGGCCTTGAAGAAGGAAGTCACCATGAGCAGGCAGGGGTGGAGGAGGAAGGAAGTGGAGTGGGCTTATCGCTTGTCGGGGGTAAGCTAGGGCGGGGCCAGTTACTGGCTGATCTGTGCAGGGCACCTTCAGGCGATCGGTGACCCATCAGCTGCTGGAGGAGCCTGGATCTCCCCCACTTGACAAGCAGCCAGAACCCCCTCATGCAGGGACTCAGGCCATGTCCCTAAAGGCTTGCCCTGGGGTTAGTTTCCTCAGCCTGTTCTCTTCCATTTTCTCTAATCTTCCCCAGACCTGTTCAGCATTCCCAGCCACTGATCTGCAGATCTTTCCAGAATCTTCTCTACTGGGTAGACCTACCTGGACTTCTAGGATAACTCCAGAGTACCCTTTCTATGTTCCTTCCCCTCTCCTCTCCTATCCAACAGGAAAGTGGGCCAGAGATCAGTGAACACTGGAGGTGAGGGAACCTTGGCCACAGCAGTTCAGTGGCTGAGTGCTTAATTTCAAGCCTCAAAATGGGCAAGGGGAGAGGTCAAAGGGCTAAACTGGCAGGAGGGAGAGGAAGGAAGAACCCAAGGCCCAGCTGAGTATTGCAGGCGGAGGTTTCCAGGTAGGGTAGGTTAGAGGGGGATTTGCTGGGAGTCCAGGGACTGCGAGACAGTGTTGCGGATGCCCCCCAGAACCCAGGCCAGACCTCCCTAACCCCTAACCGGTGTGCAGGCTATTAGGTGTCAGGACGGAGTGGGAACACCTTGTTCTAAGGTATCTCCTGAGGCAGGACCTCACCAGCCCAGAAACTTGTTTCTCAGCCCCTGAAGTTCTAGGGCCTTAGTCAAATGTTAGAAGTCCTGAGAATCACACTTGGCTTACTATTAGGCAGGGCGCAACTTCAGGGTGTAAGGGCAGTGTTTGTGTGGTGGCTCCCATCCATCCATCCCTTCTTCCTACGGTCTTTGAGCACCTACTATGCAGCAGGCCCTAGGTTAGCTCTTGAGAAGACAGGAATGAATAAGATGTTTTCCCTGCCTTCAGATAACTTACAGGCATGGGGTGGGGGCAGGTAGGTAGTCCGATAAAAATTAGTACCAGGCATGGATGCCTAGAACTTACCTCTTAATTGCTCTCTACCTCTCCTTCTCCTCTCACATACACAAGGTTTTGGTTTGGGGGATGATGTGGCCCCCTGTGACCCTACTTCCTTCCCATGAACCAGGGAAGCAGGGAAAAAGGGTCACCATCCATCTTGCCCTGGGCAGTGGCCATGCTCCCTTCCCTGGTGCTGGTCCTCCCCCGCTCGTGTGCTCATTCTCACGTCTCTGCACACAATAAGTATGCCTTTTGGTGCAGAAGAGAGTGGCTGTAACCAAACCAACCTTGTTTCTCTTCCTCTTTTCCTTCTCCATTTTTGTGTCCTGCGCCCACTACCTCCCAGCTCAGCTTGACCACCATGAAAGGGCAGAGGGGATTCAGAGTGCTCTGCATTGCTATTCCAGTTTCAACCAAGAGGGATTTTTTTTTTTTTTGATATGGAGTGATGGGCAAGTCCATGCCTTTGGATTCTGTGTAGTCCTTAGGGAAGAAGAAGTCCTTAGGGAAGTCCAAGGAATCAACAGCCACTCAAGCATATAGAGGATGCAAGGTTGCCTCCTAAGTGATAAAAGCCATGAGGAAATCAGAGAGCATGGAGACTCTGGGAGTCTGAAGAGTCAGGAGGAAATTTCAAGGAATAAATGTGGATTTACCTTCCCTTATAGGCAGGTGGGATTTGGAAGAGATAGAGATGGAAATGGAGATGGAGATAGACATGCTGATAAAGTGAGAGAGAAAGAGATGGAGAGAGATATTAGCCAGGTCAAATGCTCAAATCAAGGCCATGTATAGGAATGCCTCACGGCAGAGAGGATACACTACAGTGGAGGACACTCACCATCTCCCCATCTTCCCCTGTCCCTGTGTTCTCCCTGCAGGAGAGGGCCCTGTCTTCCTTCAGCCCCCAGTGGAGCCTGGACCGGTAAGGAGGCCTGAGCAACTTTGACAGTGGGGCTGTCTGGGTGATCCACCTCCATCCTTCCTGGGGGGCTGCTCCTGCTTTGCCCATATGCTTTCGAGGGTCTTCTCAGTGACAGGCTGGGCTCTCACTGCGCAGGAGCCGTACCCCCCGGGGACTGGATGATGAACTGGACACTGGGGATGCCAAGTTCTTCCAGGTCATCGAACAGCTCAACTCTCAGAAGTATGGCAAACAGAAGAGGGCTGAGAGGGCTGGGAGGGCTGGAGGGCCTGGGCTCAGGTGGTAGAGGAGGGAGGTGCTCCCCTGAGAACCTGTAAGAAAGGGAGGGTCTTCCCAGCTCCAGCTCACTGAAAGACTCACCTGACCATGCCCTCCTCCCTGCCCTTTCCTCTTTGGTGCTTCCTGCTCCCACCTCCCACCAGACAGTGGAAACAGTCAAAGGACTTCAACCCTCTGACACTGTACTTCAGAGAGAAGGAGATGGAGAAAGAGGTAGGCTGGAGCTGGCAGCAGGCCCTGGGGTCCCACCTCCCCTCCCCAGGTCTGCTCAGTTTGTGATCCTGGTGTGAATAAAGGGCTGGTGCCTCTCTCCAAAAGGAAAGTCACCCTATCAATTGAATTATGGGGTGGTGATGGGAGGAAGGAGGGCAGCTCCTTGGAGACCTGGTAGGGGCCACCTAGGAAGGAACTGGAGGGTGGGACAGTGAGGCTGGGGGACCCACTCCTTGCCTGGGATTGACACCCTCAAGGTGACAGGCAGCACCAGTGCCCCGTCTCCATCCAACCCCCTCCCTTCTAGTATCGGCTCTCTGCACTCCCTGCCTTCAAGTACTATGCAGCCTGCACCTTCCTGGTTTTTCTCTCCAACTTCATCATCCAGATGCTGGTAACAAGCAGGTGAGAGAGTCTTAGGCAAGGGAAGCCCTGATTCTTCAAAACAGACCCCATGGCTCTTCCAGAACCCTGACTGACGCTTTCCTTCTCTGACCACTTCCCCTCGGCTTAGGGCACTGAGCCACAGAGGAAATGGAAATACATGTTTTGGGGAACCGGCAATCATAACCCTCATGTCTTACTGTCTTACATCCTGTAGGATTTCTACATAAACCAAATATTTTCACATGCCTATCTCTCGATTCTAACAGCATTCCCACAAAGGAGATTTTGTTCCAATTGAGAAGCCCAAATCTCACAGCAAATGAGCTTAGAAAGTAGGTCCTCGCTTCCAGTCCACTGCTCGGAGGCAGTGGAGGGGTGGGTAGTCTTGTTCAAAACTCAGCCAGGTGAAAGAGCTTTGGCCCGCAGGCTCAGAGGCCAGTCTGATGCAGCCTCGGCCACTCTTGTGAGCCCCCTGCCCACTCCCACTATTGTCCCTCCTTCATCCCAACTCTGCCCTAGGCCTCTCCGCTTCCCCAGATCATCAGCATGTAATGTCTTTCATCAGCCCAGACCCCATCAGCAGCAGGTTCAAATCCCCAGGATCACCTCTCTCCATGTTTCTCGACCAGATTGCACGGCACCCTCCCAGCACACAGAAAGCCTATTCGAGCTCCTCAAGGCCTCACTCTTGTCTCCCTTTAGGCCCCCAGCTCTGGCCATCACCTATAGCATCACCTTCCTCCTCTTCTTCCTCCTCCTCTTCGTCTGCTTCTCAGAGCACCTGACGGTGAGGTGGGCTTGGGGGCAGAGTGGCGAGCTGGGGCCCTAACCACAACCTGGCCTGCAGTGGGTGCCCCAGTCCCATGGCTACAACTCTCATGCTCCTTCCACAGAAGTGTGTCTTGAAAGGCCCCAAGATGCTGCACTGGCTGCCCACGCTCTCTGTCCTGGTGGCCACACAGCCTGGACTGCGAGTCGCCCTGGGCACCGCCACAATCCTGCTCGTCTTTGCTATGGCCATTACCAGCCTGGTGAGGGAGAGGGGGCCCTGTGGATCCCTGTTAGGGCATGCTGGACCTGCCAGAGGCTGAAAGGGGACCCCTGGGTTTGGGAGGATAACTGGACTAAGACCAGGGGATGCTGGCAACGCTGGACAAGTATAAAAAAAAAATCACAGCCACTGACAGTCTACCACCCGGTAGATACTCCTTGTTAAAAACACTTTGGTGGAAATTGTTCCTATCTTTTCCCTATGTGCACAGATCTTCATTCCTTAGCTTACTTACTCTGATTTTGTAAGCTGAGTTTGGCTGATTTTTCAGACCTTAGAACCATTCCTAGAATTCTACCCCTGAAAGACATCTTAGGAATCATCCTCCAGCCAAGTTACAGAAGAGGAAGCTGAGGCCCAGAGAGCTTAAGTGGCTGGCAAAAGATCACACAGTGGATCCGTGACAGACTAATCCTCATGACACCTACTCCTCTAATCCCTGTCCCCCAACAAAGACCCCCAGTGCTGAGGCCCCCTCACCAACCAGAAATAGCAGAATCTGCCCCTTCGGGGGAGTCTGGCCCTGACTCATCCCTGGGTCAGCTGAAACTCAGCACCAGCCACCATTGTGCCCAAGGAGCTGCCTGCCCGCTGCAGCACCCCATCTCGTTCGGCAGGTCTTCCTACCGGCAGCATCGAACTGCCCTGTCCGGGCTCCCAATGTGTCCTCCGTGGCTTTCAACTTCTCCTGGGAGCTCCCTGGGTCCCTGCCTCTCATCAGTGTCCCAGTGAGTGTCCTTCACTGCCCTGAATCTCCTTCTTCAGAGCCTTTCTTGGCCCCCTCCCCCACCTCCTTAGTTGAAGAACACTCCATTCTGTGGCCTGGGACGGACATGACTCACACTTGGTATATGTGTGGTGACACCCCCGGCCCCCCTGATAGGACGGGGCCCTGGGAGGGGCAGGACAGGAGCCCTGGGGTGTCCGCTGCCCCTGCCGCTGGAACATGCCCCACCTCCTGACTACCCTGCCCGGTCCCTCAGTACTCCATGCACTGCTGCGTGCTGGGGCTCCTCTCCTGCTCCCTCTTCCTGCACATGAGCTTCGAACTGAAGCTGCTGTTGCTCCTGCTGTGGCTGGTGGCCTCCTGCTCCGTCTTCCTGCACTCCCACGCGTGGCTGTCCGACTGCCTCGTCGCCCACCTCTATCCAGGCCCCTTGGACCCCAGGTGCGCACAGCAGCTGCACGGAGGGGCCCAGGCCTCCGGGATGGGGCTGGGACAGGACAGAGCTGAACTGTCCTCACCTCACCACCTGAACCACCCACAGGGTGAAGGAGGAAGGAGGCCGAGGGCTACGTGGGCACTGATGCCCGAGGTGGGCGGGGGCAGGGGGAGGCCATGGGTAAGTGGTAGCGCAAGGGGCCGCCCTGATCTGTGGCCTCCTCAGGCCAGGGGTGCTGAAGGAGCCCAAACTGATGGGAGCGATCTCTTGCTTTATCTTCTTCTTCACCCTCCTCGTCCTGGCTCGCCAGGTAAGTCACCCAGCTCAGCCCTCCAGGGCCTCCCTGTGAAGGGTGAGGCGAGAATCCCCACATATGTGACTTGGTCTCCTTTCCCTTAATCTCACATCTCCAGTCCAAATGGTGTGTCCACTGAAAGCTTCTAAGTGAACCTTTCTTTCCCCTTCACTCCCCAAAGGGAATGCCCTCAAGTTCTCCCCTCCCCTTCTCCCTCCCACTCCCAATCTAGGAAAACATGCTTAAGAAAAGATCTGCTGCCAGTTCTGTCCACTCTAGTTTGAATCTGGTTGCAAGGTAGTCTCCCCTGGGATCGTTGTGCCTTTAGCCTTATCTCTGAACCGGGGGTGGTGGCGATGTGGTTCTAAGCACCATGGAGTGGGGGGTGAACACTCAGGAGCTGGGGCTTCCCCTGCGCCGTGTCTCCCCATGGCCCCCTGGTGACCCTCCCCAGAATGAGTATTACTGCCGCCTGGACTTCCTGTGGAAGAAGAAGCTGAGGCAGGAGCGGGAGGAGACAGAGACGATGGAGAACCTGACTCGGCTGCTCTTGGAGAATGTACTCCCTGCGCACGTGGCCCCCCAGTTCATTGGCCAGAATCGGCGCAATGAGGTGACTCCCCACCTTCATCTCTGAGCCCCAGATGCCATAGGGACTAATTCTGGATAAAAGCCTTGGCCCTTAGCCCATTCTCTCTGGACTCCCACACAGTGGGTTGGGGGGGGGCCACCCAAGCCTGGCAGGTGCCTCCATTTTCACAAGATCTTAGGGTCTGTCTTTAGTGAACACAGAATCCCTGCTTTGCAATTTCTCACTTGGAAAGAGCACTCCAATTCATGGCCACTGTAGACCCTTCAGAGTGTCAATGGGGACTATGTGAAGGACAGTCCATCCATCTCTCTAGCCCTGCGTTATCCAGTACGGTAGCCATTAGCCTTGTGTGGCCATTTAAATTTAAATTTAAGCGGGGAGGGTAAAGATCAAGTGGTAGAGTGCATGCTTGGCATGCGTGAGGTCCTGGGTTCAATCCCCAGTACCTTCTCTAAAAATAAGTAATAAACGTAATTACCCCCAAAAAAACATAAATAAATAAATTTAAACCAATTAAAATAGAAAATTCTGTTCCTTGGTCACACTGGCCACATTTCAAGTGTTCAACAGCTGCTTGTGGCTAGTGGCCACCATATTGGATAGCACATATGATAGAACATTTCCTTCACCACACAAACTTCTATCGGATGATGCTAATTTAGATCAAGTATCTTGCTATAGTCAAAGCAACAGAAGGTCACTCACATATCTGTACCATCTTATTTGGTAACTGGTAACTGGTAACTTACCTGGTAATTGATCCCATTTCTGTCTTCACATTGGCTATCAGAAAGCTCAGAGCCAGAATCCAGGACTAACAAGGGATTGTGTGAACCAACCTAGACTTGACTCTGTCTTTATCATCTTTCCCTTATTTCCCTCTGTCCCTTTTCCCTATTATTGCTTTATCTTCCAAACTGTAACTATCTTTGTAAGCTGATTTAAGTAACAACACATTTCAGCAATGAGATAGTATATAAAGGTAATTCCCATTGACATGATCCAAGTTCCAAAAAAGACGCCCTTCACGTTGCTGTTTGGTGATCCTTACCCAGAATCTCTGTCTCTCCTGGAATCCCAATGGACCTAGTCTTTAACTCCTGAGTCACATCCCTGGGGTAACCTAGCTCTACCCTTCTCCCTCCTTCCCAATCCTTCTTAAACTGAGGGGGAGGAGTGTAGACACAGGGAGGAAAGCCCGTGTAGACCCCAAAGGGGAAAGAACATAGCCCCTCACCCCTGCCTTCCGCCCTCCCAGGACCTCTACCACCAGTCCTACGAGTGTGTTTGTGTCCTCTTCGCCTCAGTCCCAGACTTTAAGGAGTTTTACTCTGAATCCAACATCAACCATGAGGGGCTAGAGTGTCTGCGGCTGCTCAATGAGATAATTGCTGATTTTGATGAGGTGATAACTCCATGGGTCCCCCAGGCCCTGTGTCCTGGATTCTACCGTGTCCCACCAGTCTGTCCTTTCACTTTGCTCTCCTGGCCATGAGGCCTGTCCTCCTCTCCCCAGCCCTCCTGCTTCTCCCCTGACACCCCAGCTCTGCCCTCCCCAGCAACTCTGCCCACTCTCCTCCTACCACCACCCCTGACCCAACAACTGGTCCTTCAGCCTCCAAAAGCCTGGGGCTGGGCTTCTGGGAGAAGAGGGGAAGAGAGGAATAGAGATTGGGGACACAACCTGCTTTCTACACAGCTGCTCTCCAAGCCCAAGTTCAGTGGAGTGGAGAAAATCAAAACCATCGGCAGCACCTACATGGCAGCTACAGGCTTAAATGCCACCTCTGGACAGGACTCACAGCAGGTACAGCACCCCTTCCTTACCTCCCAACTCTCGCCTGGCTCTCCTTGGTGGGCCCGTAAGTGGGCCTTACTCCTGTGCCCTCACTGACCCACCCTGGTGGGCTGGCCCATTGCTAGGATTCTGAGCGGAGCTGCAGCCACCTTGGCACCATGGTGGAGTTTGCCGTGGCGCTTGGATCTAAGCTGGACGTCATCAACAAGCACTCATTCAACAACTTCCGCTTGCGTGTGGGTGAGGTCTCCCTTGCTGGGGCAGGCTGGGACCTCCTCCTCACCTTCCCAAACCTTCCCTCCTCCAAGTCCTCTGTTAGTGGCTCCCACGCTCACCCCAGGGGGCCCCCTCCCGACTCACCCCTTGGGACAGAGAATGAAGCTGCTGGGCCCAGAGCTGCAATGCCCACCCACTTCCTTCCCTAAGCCACACTCCTCTGGCTCCTCCTCCTTCCCTCTAAACCCCCTAAGCTCTCCACCTTAGTTTCTTGATCTTCCTCTTCCCTTCTCCTTTCTCAAATTCCTCCCCCTCAGGGCCCCTCTTTACCACACCTCTTGTCAGGGTTAAACCATGGACCTGTGGTAGCTGGAGTGATTGGGGCCCAGAAGCCACAATATGACATCTGGGGCAACACAGTGAACGTGGCCAGCCGCATGGAGAGTACAGGCGTCCTGGGAAAGATCCAAGTAAGGAAGTCACATGGGGGGCACAGGGGTCGGGAGATAGGATGGGGCCACCGCCACACGCCCTCACACCCCTCCAATTGCAGGTGACTGAAGAAACAGCTGGGGCCCTGCAGTCCTTAGGCTATACCTGCTACAGCCGGGGCATCATCAAGGTCAAAGGCAAAGGGCAGCTCTGCACCTACTTCCTGAACACAGATTTGACGCGAGCTGGACCTCCCTCAGCCACTCTAGGCTGAGAACCCCACCCCCTCCTCTCCACCTGTAAGATCCTTAATAAAGATACTCCTGTATGGCTGGGTTAGAATTGATGTCAGAAGCTGCTAGTGTAGCTGGGGATCATCTTCTCCTCACCTCTCAACAGGACGGCTTCTTCCCAGGCCAGCTGAGTGTTCGTGTGTGTACAAGTATGAGCATGAGTGTGTTAGAAAAGAGCGATTCTTTTTCACAAGCTCAGGAAGAGGACTGCCTTGGCCTCCCTGCCTGGCTGTCAACCTGATTCCAGTGTTTTGTGCCCTTGGAAGTATAAACAATTTTAGTCACATGACTCAAAACAAAGATTTGTCCTTTCCTGCTCCCCACCCACAAATATTGGAAAGAATCTCCAGGAAAATGTCATTTGATTGCTCTCTCTCTCTCTTTTATATTTATTTATTTATTTATTTATTTATTTATTTATTTATTTATTTATTTATTTATTTATTTTTGCAGAAGGCTGGTGTAGGTAATTAGCTTTATTTATTTGTTTGTTTTTAATGTAGGTACTGGGGATTGAACCCAGGACCACATGCATGCTAAGCACACATTCTACCACTGAGCTATATTCTTACCCACCCATTTGATCTTTACTTATTCAACAAACACTAAATAAGTACCTATTATGTACTTACTACGTAACATGGGCAGGAGGCCTGGGAAATAATCTGTTAGGTCCTTCCCCATTTCGGCTGCTGTTCTCAGATTGATCCACCATGTTTCCAGCGAGGGCCTGTAGACAGCTTGGGGGGTCTCCTGTTCTCAGGTCCCTCAGATGCCTCCTTGTCTTCTTCTGCATCCTTCTGCACAGATGCTGATATTACACGGGTCTTGATGCATTCATGGTTCATTGCCACCTGTTCACATTTTGGGGTCCATGGGGGATATCTTGACACCCCAGATTTGTTGCAGATGTTGCACATGGATTTTTGGCTTTTCTCATAGTGGTTCTTTTTTTTTTTTTTTATGGGAGAGATTCAAAAGTACACTGCTGCTACTTCCTAAAATGCTGTCAGAACACAGCCAGCTCAAGGCCTTCTAAGACAGCAGCCATCCCTAGGAAAGACTGACATCCTTCTCACTCTTGCAAATCTGTGTTTCCTAAGGGTAACCACATCACAGAGAGCCCTCAGCTCCAGCTTACACCACAGTCTGTTTTTAGGGGCTGGCAGAATGCTGATGTGCAGAATTCTAGGGGATAAGATCTGATGACTTGGTTCTCAAGTGAGGGCTCTTGGGAGATGGAGGGAAGGAAGGCAATCCCTATCCCCTAGGACACTCTCACTGAAAAGACAAAGATTACTGGCAGAAAGCTGGAGTCCTGCTAACAAGGATACCTATCACAGCCTTGAGGGTAGACACCTCACAGCAGTGCTGTTTTCTCAGGGAATCTGGACTGAGGAGCCCACATGGGTGGTAGTCCTTGGCCAGCTCCTTCAGCTGTCTGCAGACCTGTGTTGTTCTAAGTATGATGTGCAGACCACCTGCCTCAGCAGGGGAAGGAAGGAGGTCTGATTTCTAGGTCTGTCTTTGTGTCCCTTCCAAACTGAAAATCATGGGAAACTAAAAGATATGCCTCAACTATTGAGAAGGATCCCCTTAAGGGCAGCCAGGATCAACAACAGGATCAGATAATACACAAGTCCCACACACGGGGCTGACCCCTTTTCAGAACCGAATTTTAATTGTAAAGCTGCTTAAAGGGGCCAGGCTCTCACTCTGCCCTGACTTGCCCCTCACCTCCCTTTCTTCTGCTCCATCCCCGACCGGTGTTCTCCTCCTGGGGGAAGAGGGAGTGCAGAATTGACTCAGGCCAGCGTGGGGGCATTCCCCCAGGAGGAAAGCAAGCATCCTTCCACCGCCACCCCACTCCCACCCCACCCCCCACCCCACCCTGCAGGTCTAGTTGGGTTCGCTTCCCTCGAGAGGGTTGGTGGAGACAGTGAGGCTCTCCACGGAGCCTGGCTCGGGACGGGTGGGGGCGCCCCTCACCGTCTGGACCAGGGTGGCCCCGCGGCGGGTGCTGGACCCCTCGGAGCCGGTGCCCTCCAACAGCTTGGCGACGAAGCCCACGCCGGCCGAGCGCAGCAGGCCGCCGCCGGCGCACGCGTACAGCACGGGGTTCACGCTGCTGCTCAGGAAGGCCAGCGTGATGAGCACT